TAATGCTGCCGGGGCTCCCGCCCTGCACCCCCTCCCAGCCCCTCGCCAGTTACGGAGCAGAGGTTCGCCTCGACGCCGAGGGATTTGGGTGCTGAGCTTGGGTTTGCATCGAGACGGGAGTACAACCCTTTGTGTGAAATCACCTAAACAGGTCCAAAAGGCAAAAAACAACCCCCAAACCCTACACATACCAAAATCCCCAACCCCTACTCGCGGCCCTGCGCCGCAGCGAGAGGAGCTTCAAACTGGGTTTGCAATGAGGGGCCACGGAAGCAACGTGCCCCGTAACTTGAGGCAAACTACAGGGCTGCAAAAAAATCTTTAAAAAATAATATCCTTAAAAAAACAAGGATTGCTCATTCCCATGGCTGAGCTGTAGCAAACCCCCAGGCTTTGCTGGCCGCGGCTCTCAAACTGCATTGCATTCGTTAACCGGAGCAATTGGGTGGAGATTTTAATTTGCCTTCTTCTTAATGCACTGAATACAAATGATAGCAAATTAAAGCACCTTAATGCAAATCTCCAGTGTCCAGCTGTACATACTTATTTTAAAAATATTTACCTGTTTAAGCAAAGAAGAAAAAAAAAAAATCAAAAAAATTTAAAAAAAAAAATCAAAAACCAGTTTGAAGTGTTTTCTACAAACTGAGCAGTTTTGAAGAGCTTGTGTCCAGCAAGGGGCCGCACGTGTATTATAATTGTACATACTTGGTGTCATGCAAAACCAGATGATCGGTGCTGTTTGACAATGCATAACAGAATTATTTATGCTAATATTAATTTTATGGATGAAAAGAAAGCATATGTCCGCCGGATGTGTAATGAAGTTTGTTAAATACTGTCCTAGTATTTTTTAAGGATTAAAAATACAGTATTTTAAAAATGAATAGCCTCTACTCCCCTTCTGTGCTAGCCCACTGCCCCGGCTCGGCTCACACCCCTCTGGGCCGCAGCGGAGGAGGACAGGGCTCGGACTTTTTCCTCCACTTACTTATCTTGGGACGGAAGGTTTTTTGCAGCCTGTTTTTAAAGGGATGCTGTCAGGTGGGACGAGCGGCCGGGGGTGCAGCCCTTGTGAGCCCGGAGGAAGACCTGCTGCAGAATCAGCCCCATGCGTTGTATAAAATGGGGGGAAAAAATCTGATTTTTCATTGCTAGCATCCTCACCTTGAGTGGGAGCTCTTAATGCCAGAGTTTCTGGCTGATTCGGGTCTCGGCTGTCCCGGGTGGCCCCGTTGGGGTGCAGGGCTACCCCGGAGAGCCGAAACCCCGGTGCAGGTACCAGGGAGGCTGCCCGGGGCTCCGTGAGTCCAGGGCAACGCTGGCACTGCCAGCGCTCCCATGGCCCCAAAGAGACTGAAGTTTGCAGATTTAGTTTTTCTCCCTCTTCATGCTCAACCAATTTTCCTTACTGCTGTTGAAAGCACACAGGAGGACTACCGACAGCGTCTTTCCAACCTTTTATTGCTAGGGAAAAAAAATAAACAACTGCTTTTCAAGGCTTTGCCCAAAAGCATCTCAGCCCTTGGTGGTGTGGAAACAGCAGCAGCTTGTCACCCCCTGAGCCCCGGCACGGTCCCCCCCGGGCTTTAGGTACCTGCAGCACCGGCTGCAAGGAAAAGAGCTGGAGGTCAGCAAGGGCTGGGCAGGGCCCTTCAGCGGGGGGTCCCCCGGGACATGGGGGGGGGGGGGGGCCCCCCCCACCGCG